GGCCGTACTACTAGGAACAAGAAGCTACTAGTAACAAGTGCATCGCTGGATTGGAGACTGACCGAACTCACCTTGGAGGTCTGCTTGGCAATCAATAGCTCTCCACCCAGGCAGGACAAAGTGTAAGCATGGTCCATCATCCTGGAATGTGGATTTCGACTGAAAACGATGGTTAACCAAGGACTCGACATTAATTGAAACTCAACACCAAGACATCGTTCTTTTGTTAAACATAAAACGTAGCTGTTCTCGCCCGCAAATGGACGCTACCTTGCCAACCGTCGCAAAGAAAACTGCATGTTGAAAAATACACCAGCATCGACACGAAAAAACATTTGTTTAGCTGGTTTGCTTTCAGCAGCCATGACACGCACCAGCAAAGAAACATAAAGTTGCACTTCCGAAAGTATGACTCTGTTTTTCTTCAAGTGTACCTTTTCAAAATCAAACAGCATGAGGTTGATGTCAAAACGCACTTGTATGTTTTCTTTAAAACGTGTGCTATATATTGAGAAGAATACATCGGAGTACATTATGGTTTTAGAGAATCATGATGGTGCACGCGTAGAGTCAACTGTCAAGAACCTACCAGTTCGACAGTGTCATGCATTTTCCAAAGCTGCGCATTTCGAGGATACACGTCGCGTTTTCAGAAGTACGCCGTGATATGTTCCATAATTTGTTCATTTCGAAAACACACTGGTGTGATTTTCAGAGATTCATCTGCATACTTCGCCAATATCAGAATCCCTTCTCAGGAACATGACATTGAATTTCCACTGTCAAGCTCTGTCTTGTCAAAAGCATGCCCAGGTGTATATTTAGCCGTGCGCCTGCGCATGTTGACCAAAGGAAGCACGCACTTTAGAAACACATCATCTCCGTGCATGTCCAAAAGCGTTCATAAAATCATCTGCGCAGCGCGAGCAATCATCTGTGCGAGCGTTTTCGGAAACATGCTGTCGCCTTATGCGAGAAAGCAAACGACGACAAGGGAAGGATCACCCAGCGCATGCTGTCGTCATCATCGGGCGATCACGTGCGGAGACAAAGAAAGAAGCATCTCATAACAAATAGCGATGGCCTCCAACCTAATAGCAACGACCTCCAACCTAATAGCAACCCCACAGCCCTCCAACCTAATAGCGATGGCCTCAAACCTAGTAGCGATGGCCTCCAACCTAGAAGAAATGGCCTCACACCCAATAGCAATGGCCTCCAACCCAATAGCAATGGCCTCCAACCTAATAGCAATGGCCTCCAACCTAGAAAAGATAACCTCCAACCTAATAGCAATGGCCTCCAACCTATTAGCAATGGCCTCCAACCTAGAAGAAATGGCCTCCAACCCAATTGTAATGGCCTCCAACCTAATAGCCTCCAACCTAGTAGCGATGGCCTCCAAACTAAAAGAAAAGCTGCATCCGGCCCGAAAGCACATGAGCGTGCATTCGTCCTTTGCCATGTGGTGGTGAAGGTCTTCGGTTTTGGCTGGAACCTGGTCCCAAATCCAGGCTGTCATGCCCTTGTTTGGTCCGTTGAGGACCCTACTCCTTGGTTTGCACCTGGGCTGGCATAGCAGCGAGGGTTGTCCTGCTGCCATGGGCAGGACGGGAATGGAGTCTAAGTGGAGCTGGCTTCGCCTCTACTCGGACTCCATGAAAGATCATGGCATGAATCCACCAGTGGGCTACGGCCTTAGAAAGAGTGACCTGAGGATCGCTAAAGCTGGAGTTGTCAAGAGAAGTTATCGAAGAGCTGTTCGACGTATTGCCACCCACGGATTTTGTTGGTATAGAGGACAGTGTTTGAATCGTGCCGACGTTCCTGCACCGCTTCTTGACAAAGCACTTCCTCCGAAACCTGTTCAACCCCTGGGCCGCATGGGACCTCGTCAAACTGGACCACTGGCCTCCAATAAGGTGCATGTTCCTCAACATCGAATTTTCACCATGGTCTGGAATCCTGGTGGTTTGTCTAGTCACCGCCTTCATGAGTTTTTGTCATGGGCCGAATGCTGTACATCCTCCCGGAAACCCGCTGGACCTTTGATTCGACCTGGGAAAGTGACAAATGGCTTTTGTCCATAGTGGATCTGACAAGGGTAAGGGCGCTGGCATTTTGATTGTTATCTCCAAGCTCCTCTGCAAAGGGGACCTGATGAGCTATCGGATCATTATTCCTGGCAGGCTCGTCCATGTTCGTCTACATTTGGCACCGAGGTACCTGGACATTCTTGCCTGCTATCAACATGTTGGCCATACTGGTGGTGACTTGGGAGCTCGTGCCACCCTTTGGGCTGCGCTTGACGCTGAACTGCACTCCTTGGCCACAAGGCATGGTTTGATTTTGGCCGGTGACTTCAATTGCTGCCTCACCGCCGGGTACCCCACCACGGGCACCAATGTCTTCACCCACGGTGACCGTCGTGTCTTGGGGACCCAGCACAGAGATCGGGCCTTGTTCAATCAACTCGCCATCACTCACGGCCTGGTTGCTTTGAATTGTTGGGATGCACGCCTTGGGCCTACTTCCCACAATCCAATTGGCGCTGTCTCCAGGATTGATTTTGTGTTCATCCGCCAGCGGAATGTGGATGCCTCTACCACTTTTCTCATGTCCAAGATGGACTCAGCTGCTGTTCATAGCATGTGGGAAAGACGGTTTGAGCGAGCCACTGGTGCTGTAAAAAGACATGCGCATGCTCTTGGATCTATTTTGCTGCACCTCCGAGTCATGCCTGAACCTATCCAACCACTGTGCCACCTTGTTGAGAATTGGCACACCGAGTCAGGAATGCTCACGGCTTTTTCCCACCTTCCCTCCATGATCTGCATACACTTGGACCGACTCCGACCTTTGGCAGGCACCGTTCATGGTCAGAAGCTCATGCCCAGAGTGTTGATCGATGCTGAGTTCAGGATCCCTTCCTTTTCAGGTGATGGAATCCAGGTTGAGTACCATGAGTTTGTTCCCACAGCAGCTCTGGCACACTTGGGGCTCCCTGGAGCTGGGCACTACCGAGCTGCCTTGAAGTGCCTTGCCGATCCGACCTCTACTGAGTGGCTGCTGAGTGATGATGACACGCGCTGCATTTCAGCTCCCAAGCTCCCTGGTTGTTTTGAAACTCAGGTGATGATGATTTGGGCCATTCGTAGGAGCGATCTGTGCAGGTTGATGGTAAATTTTGAAAACACTCCAGCGGTGCCGGCAATAGATCAGATGCTTGCACTTTTTGCTGATTAGGCACTTGATCCCAGGATCACCAAGACTTCCGACGGAAGCCATGGCATTTTGTCATGACAGGATAGCGCTAAGACGCCACTGAGCTCTTTGCGTATGAAATGCCGAAAAAAAATGCCAAACTAAAAGAAATGGCCTCACACCCAATAGCAATGGCCTCCAACCCAATAGCAACGGCCTCCAACCTAAT